AACATTACCTGATTTCTAATAAATGACCAGGTAATATATTGACCCCTGCGAATTTGTGAATATGAGGAAGTATATTTAGAGAACACTTTATCAGGTGGAATGCTTATCCCAACAACCTACTGTATTGATGAGTCCTGAGGATATCCATTTTGCAAGACAATGGAGACTTCTACTCTCGCTGGAAATAACTGGAATATAACGTCCTCCTCAAATCTACCCACTGAAACCTACCAAGTGATACAATACATTTAAGTGGTCGACTCTCAACCTTCTTACAGATTACCTGTCACTATACTCACCATATATTAACAAAACCCTCATTGTGCAGCAAACAAGTGAAAGCCATTAAAGAAAAGGTAGTTCTGTAGATGTTGTTGTTTAGTTCATGGATCCATTGACAGATGTGTGAGAGAATGAGAATGGAATGAGTATATTCACATGCCACCCGTATTCTCAGTTTACCAAAACTCCGACGTGGGGTTTCACATGTCGCTTTCTTGTATGGCAAAACTCTAGGCGCCTTACATTCTTTCTTACTAGTGTTATGGACGGAACTACAAAGGACACATCTATTATGGGCATATGGGAAAATTTGGAGATATTATGCAACATCTGCGAGGAAACCTGCCCAATGAGACACTGGAATTCTGTGGAGGTGATGTTGAGCAAAACCTGTATAGCCGCCGCCTAAGGCAAAAAGAAGTGGAGAAACAAGAAATGGCTCTATAGAGACTAATAAAAGCTACTACAGGACACAGGGATGATGGAACATAAGATGAGCCAGCGTAAAGATGAACAGCGAAAAGAGAAGCTGAATTCAGTCTACAGTCTACAACAAAGAAGTGAGGATGAATGTTAGTGGCGACAAAAGATAATTCCACGACACACTGGGAATGGAGGCGGAACAAGGTGCACGTAAGAGAGACGTCATGTCACCATGCCTGGTAACCAGTTCACTATAAGCGAAGTGATCAACACAGATGACACCGATGGAAAATTGTGAAAGCAGACTAATCACTAACCATAAGAAACAAAGGAAGCAATGGACCGACCAATTCAAAAGACTGGTGAGTCGACCATCACCCACAACTCGCTCAGAAATACCACCAGCAGCAATCATCAGTGAACACCAAACCTCATACAAAAGCAGAAATCCTGAACGCTCTGAAGTTACTGAAAGCTCGAAAGGCATCAGGAGCAGACGGCATTCCTCATGAGGCAATGAAAATGGATCCAGAGACCTCAGGGGATATGCTCACTCAACTATTGCAGAAGGTTCGGGTGAAACGAAAGATATCTGCTGGCTGGAAGAAGGGCGACTCAAGCCTCTGCAAGATCCGGGTCGGAATCAAGCTCGTGTCCACACCAATTAAAATATTCGACTGTATCATCCTGCAGGCTCTAAAAGATGTTCTGTATGCAAACCTCCACCTGAGATAAGCTGGATTCAGGAAGGGCAGACGCTTCGTACCATCACTGAACAGAGCATGAAACAGCATTCAAATCTCTACCTCAACTACGTCGACTTTGAAGAGACCCTCGACAGGTTTGACTGTGAAGTGATTTGGAAACTACTTCAACCGCTTTCTCCTGAAATAGGTTCTTGGTTGGTTCGTTCACGGAGGTCCTTGTTGCCAATCTTCGCTGTTCATGTGATTATCAGTATGGAGTAAAGTCAGCTTTTGATCATAATCTGTAGCCTGTGGGAAAGTCTTTTGGTGAGACGCCAGCCAAGTCCGTGAGTTATACATACATAGAGATATATGTGTACACATGTATATGGGAAGAGAGGGATAGACCCCATTACTCCCTGGGAATAATTGGAAAATGAAGATCTCTTAAACACGGCTCACTAGAACACATTAATTGATAGAAGATAGTGAAGTGATCGATCCTCAACGTGCTTGCAGATTATATATTGCCAGACTCAACGTATATCAACGAAATGCCCATCATACGACCGAAGAATGAAAACTAGTATCAAAGAGGTGGTTCTGCAATGGTTGTCGTTTAGTCGATGTATCCAGCGAAATATTTTTGAGAGAATGAGAGTAGAATGAGTATCGGCTTCAATCGCACTCATGAAAGGCTAGTAGCAGTGTGGCGTCCATGATGGAGGGAAGAAAATAAATGAAATCAACATTCACGTTCCACCGGCTCATACAGGCTACATTTTCACACACGGCGCCACCACCCATCTAAAAGTAACCCGGTGAACACTCTTCGTATCCATCAAATCAGGGAATTGATGGTAAGTGGTGTTAACCCTTCAAGGACTCAGTCATACTTCAGGTCAAGAAGGCGCATACACATATCTAGAACTAGATCTATATAGTTGCAGTGGTATCTGATGAAAACTATGTACATACATATTAGTATATATATAGGTATATATATATATATATGTATTTGTGTGAAGTGAAAGCATTTTTTTGTAATGACCCTATAATACCTCGCATGCTATACCTTCCTCGTTTCAAAGATTTCATAAATGGTGTTTTGAAATGAGACACTAAGAAACAGTAGAGAAATTTAATCTCCATATCGTAGTATGACTAATAAATAAGAAAGAATGATGTCTAGCACCAATGTCATGAAATAAAGTAACATCTATGCTCCCCAATTTTAAAGAAATCAACTAGTCCTCTAACCTTCAATTCAGGATAGGCTGGGTGGGGTACTTCTTTCATAGCCTCCATCATTACAGAACGACAAACGCCATTGGCAAATAAATATCTTTGCGAACCGACAGTGAGTCCTGGCCCCAGGGAAAATCCATCTGGAAAGAAAACCAAATACCATTTTGAGCTGGAGTCACAGAAATAGCACGTGTTTACAATATCAACATGTCAAAGTAACTTGATTTCCAATTTGTGATTCACATTCATTAGTTCATCATATTACCAAAATCAATAGGTGTCATTAATCCACTTTATTCGCTTACCACTGCCATTAATATAGTTCGCATATTCACTTTTCCATACATTGAGAACACTGCAAAAGAAATGAAAAGAAGAAATTTAGTTTGTGTTTCACGATTTCTAGCAACACATATACCAACACGCACACACAAAGACACACACACACACACAACATGGACCGGGGCAACGCAAAGAGTTCAGAGTATTGTTTGGAGGATAATGCCGCTTCGATGTTGTGTGGCAGTTATCAAAGTGGTCCGATAAGATTACACTCAACTACAGTCTGCACACTCCATTTTTCCGATGAACACAAGTGATGTCCTTCGTGTCAAAGAACAGTCTCGAATTTCAACTGGTCAAATAGCAGACACTTATTACACAACGGAGACGCGCTTATTTACTCAACAACCTCCTATCTCACACTAAGTGTCATCCAGGTCTTTCCTTTCATAACGCCTCTCTTATTTTCAAATTCTGCTTGAGATGTGAAATCCCTGCAAGTGTTTTCCCTATCACTCTCTTCCAATTCCGCACTCCAGCACAAAGAATACTGCACCTATTCCTCAACAACTAACAACAGGGTGCTTATACTCCATGGCTGTGAATATTAAGAATACACATACATTGTACTCTGCAAGTTATCTGGAGAGGTAAGAGGTGATGATGATATAGAAACGGTTAATGCTGTCGACAAAGAGATAATAAATGTGGAAATAGACAGCAACAAAAGCCAAGCATAAGAGTAATGGAAATTATGTGTACGAACTGGGTTGAATGCAAATCTGTCCTCTCTGAACTTCTAGTTTCTTCCCTCTAATGCATTCCTTTATTCTAATTAGCTATTCCATCTGCTCTCCCCGTTATCGGTCAGTGTAATCATGAAGTGATTTGTTCGCCTTATGCAAGAAGAACAACAGTCACTCTGCTCGTCCATCATCTTCCAGTCAATGACGATGAAGGTCTTTATGCTTTTAGTCATCAATATCTCAGCCAGAAATATGTCACCGATCTCAACACTGAACAATTCATCACAATACACACAGGGTGGAGCCTTAACATTGTTTACTCCAGTCTTAACGGTTTCAGACATCATGCTTATCAAAAATGCTATTAAGTAAATTTATTTGCGAAGTAGCAGAGTAATAAAGTACTTTGAATACAAAGTGTCAACAATAAACTTTATTCTAGAAGCGTCTTCTACACACACTACTGTTCTCCGTCAATTTTTATTATAATAATAATAGGTAACTGTTAGTAGTATTTGCGAATCCACTTCAATATAGGCTGGATAAATTGTGAGTGATGATACACTAGTATGTCTGATGAACAAGATAAACTTTTACATGAAAGTGTGTTGCGCGAATGAACTACAAAATAAGTTATTCACCTCACATTTGTATCAGAGAAATTACCGAGGATTGCAAATTGTAAGAGATGAGAATATTTCAGTACTTACTGCGGTAAAAATATCCAAAGAAGTTACTTTGCCGACAAATGGGTTCACAGACATTTCATCATGAATTTCGAAGTAATTGGTTTTTTCTTTGTACTGAAGATATTTTGGAGGTGATTCATCAGAAAATTTCATATCACTCTTAAACGTTTGCTTCCTATGTAAACCAATTTTTCATTTCAAAAATCGTAAGATAAGAGGTTACTTTCATCAAGCTAACAAGATTGACAAACGTGTTTTAAAAATTTAGCTGACAGATATCGATAACGCATAAGAAAATAATAATCGAGATTGAACGAAGCTCTTAACAAATGCATATAAAATACTATTACTATCTCACGTACCTAAGAGGTTTAAATCCATCCCAGACATAAAACAGTGACAAGACTGGAGACTGACAAACTGTTTGCGAAACAGTTCCAGAGAACCACTCTTCACTATAGTCCCCTCTTACTCCTACTCCTATTTCCAACTTAGAAAATATCTGAGGCACTCGACCGATAGATATCTTAGCACACAAAGAATCATTAGAGAGCGTCCGCACTAATAATAACCAAGTTACTAGCTCAAATCAGTAAAGTGTGTATCAATTGATATAGTTTGATAAGAATAATGGAATAGCTCACTTATAACGAAACGGTCCAACTTCCGTGAAAACTGGTTTGGCGCCATTGAGAACGGCGTGCTCGTTGGTTAAGTTGTAAAGGTAAAGTGATGTGTTAAGTGCTGTATCGTTTCCGCTGAAACTTTCAAACACAAGACTATCAGGGACGAGGGTGAAGAACTAGAAAGGAAACAAGAGGCGAAAACACAATGCATAGCTTTCATTAATATTTCAATAAAGAGATCGTCAATTTTATGTTATGTAAAGAGCTGTGTGTTGAGGATGTTTTCACCTGAGAGTGTTTGGCCATTGAGAATTAAATGGTCGAATATCCTCTTATTTACTGATGAAACGTCAATAAAATTTTCCGTTCAATTTCAGAATCGTCGTCATGAACATAGAAAGGATAGTCTCGTATCTCCTCAACTCAAGCAAGTTCCGTCATAAATGATTAACCACCATATGCATACATATATATAATTCGCTTTGTTGAGGGAATTTAAGTGTTCAGTCGTTCAGTTACTGCTGATAAACAACGATTGTGAACTCTTCGCCATCGCCAAGCAGGTTTCCCAAAATCATCTTTTCAAACATTCATTTTGATAACGAATAAGTTTTGCATAGTCTTAAGAAGAATGAAAAGTGAAGTAATATGAGTGCTCCACAAGATGAAATGACTCAATCTATCAGGATAATTCATCGAAGGCTGATCAGTTGACCAGTGCTGACTGTGTCAGTTATTCACACGATTATTTTACTTACAAATTATATGTGATAAAAATGAACAACTTACGCGTGCAATTACAGCACCGTGAATTCGATCGACATAGTAGTGGAGGACTACGCAACCAGTGAATAGAATGAAGGATACGACAAAAATGGTGTGAGCCAACGATCGACAAACGTTTCCTTGAAGCATCACTACGTATTTGTGTGGTTTTCAGAACAAAACTGGCTTCCTTCTTGGGAGGTATCGATGAATGCTGATGATGGAAAAAAATTCGATAATTTCTCGAATAAGCGGAACTCTGTGTGAGTGTTGCCAAGGATTTAGGCAACATACACGTGGAGAGAAACAGTAAATATAATGTCATATTTCTTTAATTTTCGGATGCTTCCATCATTATTTCAGAAATCTATCTATGTCATCATCATCATCAGCCACAACATTGGCAGCAGCAGTGGTGACGTGTGAGGATATAACGAAGCATTGTTTGGATTGTGTTTAGACAACTCGATTCTATGCTTAAACGACAGTAACCCCACATAATGGATACTGTTTTATCCATCCGTGTTTTGATGACAGTTCTTCGCGTAGCTCAGCATCTTTGTGGTGGTTTATTCATATTGTTTTCTAATTACATTTGCTGCTACAATCCATGCGTCATTCAATGAATCTTGTCAAATTGTCCTAATTTGCTAGGCACCAGGCAGTTTGTAGAACAGACATGCATGGTCAGGCTTCCTTATCGTCTCAGGAAGATTACATCAGATACAACCTGTCTGCTACTTGTGCCTCATTTTTATAATTGTTTCCAGTGAATCATTTCCGTGAGTAAAGCAGACAGTACTGCATTAACATCAATATATGGAGTCAATAGCGGTCCTTTTACTGTTCGTCTTGTACATTCACATATATATATATATATATTGTATATAAATTTCATCCAAGAATCCCTTATCCTCATAAACTGTATCTGTATTAATCTTACAAGACACTCATTAGATCAGTCAAATCGTCTATGCTTATGTCACATAACCAATCACCATAGGAACCAAAAGAATACTACTCTCCACAGACAAGTGTTTTATTACTACCACAAATTTTAAAACATTAACGCATATATGGAAATCAAATTGAGAAGAATCTCAAATAAACAACAGTACTCACTGAAAAGTCGACCAGAGAAAGCTGTACTAAATGTACCCAACCAACTTTGGTTTATATAGGATTCTCAATCTCGTTTATCTGCTGATCGGATGACACAAGGTTACATTTGTCGGTTAACATACTGAATTGTCTACACTTTAACAAAAGAACAATGCTTTGTATACATACAATCTTGTTGGTGTAATTATCTCTTATCAACAAAGAACACATAGCAGTAACAAGTTTGCGTGGTATGCTATGCTATGCTATTGTTCAAGCAAAATAAGAATAGTGTAATTATCATTTACACAGATACTGTTCAACTCTTATAGTATTCGGAAAGACAAAATATTCTAATTAAATAAAATAATGTACGCTTAAGAAGAAATATTTTATACACTTTTCATAAAATTCTTATCATGGTAATCACAAAGGGGAATTATTCAGCCACTTCTACTATCATAGTGACACCTCTGTTGATCACACTTTACTTCTGATTTTCTCTTGTTTTTCTAACTACTTAAAACTCTTGTGTTACTTTAAATCCCTTACGTAATTCCGTATTTTATTTTGTTTCCATGTTCACCCTGTGCACAACTCTTTCATCAAGTTATTCACGTTGTTACGTAACTCTTCTTTAACAATCGTTCGTGACAACTCACCACTTTTGTTTCTACCCTATTATATCAACACCCAATTCCTCTGAATACTATTTGTATTACGTAACTCCATCCAAAACGTACTTACTGTCACCTGTTTAATTAAAATGACTATAAACTATTGTATATTTGTTTGACAAACTTAATGTACACATTTATACGAAATAGCGCATATATATTTGCTATTGTACAGCTAAGTATATGAATTCGCCGAAAAGAGACTCTTCGCTGCACTACTGGTCTTCTCTCTAAAACTGTAAAGATTCTCTAAAATTTCCATTAATTTTCTATTATCTTTCCATTTAAATTGTTCACTTTAAATGTGAATCTTACTGATCTACTTCATAAACATAAAATTCTATCACTTGATATCTTTATTAGTCTCAAGGTTATCGTAAGGCGATATTTGCGATTGTACAGTTAAGACAGTGAATTCGCAGATCAGAGAATCTTTGCTGAATAAACATTCTACATTTTAAATCACACAAAAATTTATTTCAGCATCATTTCCTTTGAATTCCTGCTATGATGCCACTTCATAGTTGATAAGCAATTTCTTACTCCAAATTTATGTTAGTTATATAAAATGGTTCTGGCCTGCTCTTATTTATAATCTTTGATATCTACTACACTTTGATTGTCGCCTATTCTGTGTTCGGAAATCACGATCCTTTTTACATGGTATAAAATTGTCCAGACAGTTTGTTCTTCTCCTTATTATTATCATTATTATTATTGTTATTGTAATCCACAGTAGATTCGACGCTCACCTACATAGCAGTGAAGGGTCTAAGCAGATATGAAATATATCCTTCTGCGTTATTGCGATTGACGCGTTTTGAATACATGTAGAATTATTTTTATTTTTTTTTTTTTTATTTTGATTACAGCTTGATGCCACACCGTATTTTCAGTACAAGTATGGAATTTTCAGCATGAATATCGGTAGCCCAAATTTAGCAGGCTGACCGTAGATATCGGCTGTGCGCCGGCAGGGGATCGAACCTGGGACCATGTGCATGGTCGGCGAGAGTCCTAACCACTGTGCCACCGACGCACAGATATTTTGCAATCCCGACTATAATTACATAGAAATATTCTGTTGCGAGGTCTAACGTGCCGTCATTGTTATCTCATGATATTCATTGTACAGACTGCTAATGAGGTGGACGCTTATATCCCTCTCATGGAATAATGGTAGGAGATCGAATCCAATGTTATAAAATTGGGGAATTAAGAATGTTGGTGAAGAATTTCGATGATTTCATTATCAGTAATCTGTGAACAAGACGTTCAAGTCAGAAGATACCACTGGCGTATTGTAAGTATTCAAAGAACTAGAGCCAGTTTCTTCAAGCTCATCTAGTAGACACTTAGAATTCGTTGATGTGCCTCTTCACACTTCAGTGCAATGTCTTTCCTACAACAAACTATCGAATGCAGAATACTAACCAATAAGTCACACTTGGCTTCCTACTGCAGATATCCAATGTAGGATTTAGATATTGTATATTATTTATCTTCTCACACGCTCTAGCATTTCAGACAACCATTTGACAATCGGATGGTACGATGATCCTTCCATGTCTAAAATTGATGGAAGTGGCGGCCCTACTCTGTACAGCTTTGTTAGATCGTAGAGTCGAGGGAGGATTGATCATGTTGGTCTCAAACTTTCAAATATATCATCAGTTGAATAAACTTTATTCCACTCAACATGTCAAGTCTACATGTGAATTTTGCATTTGAATGAAGTGAGCTGAATAGTTTAAATAAGTTTTCCGCTTGATTTTAACCACACATATAATAAATGTCCCAACTGTTTATTATAACTAGAATTTCGTCTTTTTGTTGCATCACTGAATTTGTTATTTTGTCAACGAACTAGGAAAATTAATGTATGTGGAAAAACGTGGACAGTTTGGTATTATATAATTCCTTATCAGTTTGTTTATTGGACTTATCGTGCAGTGAGAAACTTGATACGATTGTTAACAATGAGTTTCGCTCGAAACGTCATTTGGTGAAATATACTATTTCACTATGTTTTTTATCCAATAAACGAATTAATATGAGCACAGAAAAATACCTTAAATAATGGATCTTGAGGACTTCCCATAATCACTCCTGTCAGTATACAATACTGACCATTTAACTGAATAAAAACTTTGTATCGTAGAGCAACAACCTCGCCTGGATTTCTAGGTCACTAGTATTCTAGCCGGTCCCAGGCCCGGATAAAGAGGGAGGGTTGGGGCGTGGTGCTAGCAACTCCACCCCCAAAACTTAACCAAATTGCTACTAAAACTTCAACGCACAAATATATTAAATATTCTAAAAATACAAACAATGACCTTATTTTTCGCTGGAATCGGGGAAGTGAAATGACGCAGGCTGGTGAAAGCCTTCGGGAAGCCAGTCAGCCGATGTACCTCCTTTCAATGAAAGCAAAAATAAGGATGGGGACGTGGAATGTTCGTACAATGTACGAAGCTGGGAAGGCTGCTCAGGTAGCCGCAGAAATGAGGAGATATAAAATAGAAGTGTTGGGAATCTGCGAGAGCAGATGGAACGGATGTGGAAGGAGCCAACTGTCAACTGAAGAGACAATAATCTACTCCGGTCACCCAGAGGACGATCACGAGCACACCGAGGGAGTAGCCATCATGATGTCACCAACAGCTGCTAAAGCTCTCATGCAGTGGGAACCAATCTCCTCCAGGATAATGACAGCCAGGTTCAACTCAAAAGGAAAAAAAGGTTACAATCATTCAATGCTACGCGCCTACAAACGTCTCAGAACATGAGAAGGAGGAGGATTTCTACAGTCAACTACAAACAGTAATGGACAACGTCCCAAAGAGCGATATCAAAATCCTGATGGGTGACATGAATGCGAAACTGGGAGGAGACAATACAGGAAGAGAACTCACCATGGGTCGTGAGGCCCTCGGTGAAATGAACGAAAATGGTGAACTCTTCTCAGACTTCTGCGCCTTCAACGATTTTTTGATTGGTGGCAGTGTGTTCAAACACAGGGATATACACAAGGCAACATGGATTTCACCAGATGGACACACCAAAAACCAGATAGGCTTCATTTCAATCTCAAGGAAGTGGAGACGGAGCCTACTGGACACAAGATCGAGGAGAGGAGCAGATGTGGGTTCAGACCACTATCTAATACAAGGAACTTTCAAGGTGAAGCTAAAAGCCTCGAGGATAACTGGGGATAGGCCACAATGCAAGTTCAACACGCAAAAACAGAAGGGCACAACCACAAAGAACACTTTCACTGCAACTGTCAGAGCAAAGCAGGAAACACTACGTGGCACCACTGAGGAATCATCCGTGGAAGACCATTGGAACTCTCTGAAGGTAATTTTCAAC